TTGCTTTGAAATGATCTGAATCTCTCTATAGAACTCAACCTGCAAAGCTTCAAAATAGAAATGGTGAACACTGTAAATGGAGTTACAGTTGGCAATGGAGGTTTGGGATAGTTTGAGTGAGTTGAATGGAAGGTATTGGAACTGGTTAGGAGCAAAACGCGCGAGGGATTTGTGTGATGGATATGAAACTGCAGGGAGTGCCCTGTTTTGCAAGAAGAATGTGATTTGGTGTTTTGGAAGGCTTAAGGGTTCAACAAATCGTGTTTCTGGCTCAAGGCAATGCACAAAACTTGTTTGGAATATTGACAGGAGTTGAATATATCAGATGCTCAAGTTATGTCCTTTTGGCAAGTTGACTTGTTTTGAAAGAAAAGTGTGAAGTGAAATGAGGTAGGCATGTACAGGCTATCTCCAAGCATGCACAAGTTTCTTGTACCTTTGCCTGAGTTTGTGGAACTTTTTTGCTGCAAAGAAAGAGGTCCAAGGCTCAAGAGAAACAATGTTGACATAAAGTTGCCTTTATGAAAATGGAAGTGCTACCTTTATGCCAAAAATGGATTTTTTTTTCATTGTGCAAACCTCTAATGATCAGAATAACACCAATGTCCAATGAGTTTGCATTCAAATTTTGAGTGTTGAAGGGTTTAGAGACCTGTAATTAAGTACAAATCTAGTTTGGACAGATTTTGCAACTTGTATGAACATGTATTGGCCATGGTTACAAAGTGAGTTTTTTCCAACTTCAAGCATTCGATTCTCCCTAACCACAAATGTGTTTGAGGAGTTCTTAGACAATTTGGAAAGATTGCAACATGTACTATAATCCATCTTTGAAATGTAATTTGAGATTCCAAGTGGAACTATGTGAAAAATGGCCAAGAAGATGGGTCAAAATCCTGCCTAAATTAGGGCAAAATTTCTCTAAGTTAAAAGTTTTAGGGACCCTTGTTCCAAAAATCATAACTTGAGATCCAAGCTTCTTTTGAGAAAACTTTGTGAATAAAAGTTGTAGACTTTGTGGAGGACTACAACTTTCATGTTGTAAGTTTTATTTAAATCCATTTGCATCATGGTGAAAATGTGGGACAAAGTTAGGAAAAATTAAGAAAATTTCATAACTTAGAAAAATTCTAAGTTATGAAAATTTTCAATTTCAAACCCTAATTTGCAATTTTGGGTTTCTTGATGAACAAATTTCATAATTTGACATATCTTGATGAAAAATGACCCTTGGCACTTGATTTTGACCAAAAAGTCAAAGTTTGACTTTTCAGTGTACAGTCAAATTTTGATCAGTTGACTGAAAAATTCATCTGTCAATCCTATGCATTTGAGATCTTTTGAATCTTGTTGAATAGGTCAAGATAATGTCATTGAGTCCTTGAGTCCATGGTTGAGCTTAATTTTCCACTGGTTAGGTCAAACAGTCAAAAATTGCCTTTGTACAGTCAAAACCCTAAAATGACCATTTTACCCTTTTGGTGATCTGATCCAATTTCTTGTGGAATTATGGTCCAAACTTGGTCAAATGGTTCATATAAGTTTATAATGTTGATGTGGGTCAAAATTCATGAGGTTTGACTGTAAATTGGTCACAGTTGACTTTTTCCCCAATACAGCTGATTTTTAGATCAACTGTCCAATTGACTGGGCAAAAATTTGATTCAAGGCTTGAAACTTGACATGGACAAACTTATGAGTCCAACATGAAGTATGAAAGTCAATTTGAGCATTGGAGGTCCAAAAATCCATGTGCAAACTCAAACCCTAATTTAGGTCAACAATGCAAGGAGGTGTCTTGAGCAGAGCAAACCCTAGCTTGATCTTGAGTTCCAAGAGTCTTGTGATGGGGAATGTTGATAAAATGAGAGGGCAAATTTTGGGGTACAACAAAGTCCACTTACGATTGCTTAACATAGCGCTAAATTTTGTCCCGATTCGAGTAAATGATCATTTGTGGCCCAAACTTATGTTTGCAAGCCCAAGTATGTTAATTTGATCTCTTTGATCTAATAACCTTGAGATTCATTGTGTGGAGGCTTTGGTTCTACCAATCCTCTAATGGATCTACAACACCTTTGGTCAATGCGGATCACTTAAACATCGTTGATCATTAAATGGTACTTTTAAAGATTCCAAATGGATGATATACTTGACAAAAAGCAAATGCAACTTGTTGTGTGGATGCTTTGGTTCTACCAATCCTCTAATGAGTTCCAAATGCAAGTTTCAAGATGATCATCCAACTAACCACTAATCAATAATAATTGACTTTATCCTTTATTCTTTTATTATATGGCCCTTTTATTTTTATGCACTATTTTCTTTTAGCATTTATATTTCATGTCATTTTCATCTTTGCTCATTGGAGTATTTACTTGTCATTTTTATTTTTGCTCACTTGAGTTTTACTTTTCTTTTTAAAACACCTAATAATCAACACAAACCTTAAAAATCTTTAATGATATTTGGACTATTTGGTTACTATCCTTGACATTATGGAGCATTGGACTTTTTTGGACTTAAGATTAGAAACCTTGGCCTATGATTGAAGACCTTGTGATCTTATCTGATTATTTTGTCTGGGGCTCTTGAAGTTTACCTCAAGACATTGGGTTATTTGTTTGTTTTGTGTGCAGGTTATTGTGATTACACCCTTCGTTTGTAATCTAAAATTCACCCGTATACAGCCGTTACTCTGCCCAATTTTTGTGAAAACTTAATACACTTGAAGTTTGGTTTTCTCAAAAGGTCTAGTATAATTGCTTGTTTGATTTCAATCCAAAGAATGAGAATTCTATCTTGGCTCATAGTGTCAAGTATTGGTTTCTTGTTGGTTAGATGGTTCTTATCCCTAGTTTTTACTTTATGCTTTAGGATAGCCTCTTCTTCTCCTCCCATCTTCTTTAATTTCAAAAATCTTTTCCCTCCTTTTGAAAACTCTTCTTGTTTTAAACTTGAACCACTTCCATAATAAACTTGGACTTAAGTCCGTGCATTTTCAAATATTTTCATAAATAAACTTCAATAAACTTAATAATACTTTGACATCTTTTTTGTGAGAAGACTAAAAGTCAATCAATCTCATTTCAAACTATTTTGCCACTTTGACTTTTATCTTTAAACTTTTCTCAAAAAAGATTGAACTCTTGTCAATCCTTGTAGTGATGCAAACAACTATACTTCTATAATATGTAGTGAAGAGAGATATTTTCCACTTGGATGTTGAGTGAGACATTGTTGATTTTAAAATCCAAGTCATATCCTCCATTTTGAGATGATGCAAATTCTCATTTCTCATGATTGCGGGTAGTAGATATGTTTTCCACACGGACAGATATTTTATCTAATAAAATTAACCAACACATTTGTGTTTTAAAATTTTTAAAAGAGGAACTACATGTATCCTAATCCCCTATTGCACGAAAAAGTTGTACGTAGGCACTAAAGATTCGCAGCCGCGACGGATGCAAAAATCATAAATAAATAAAAATTCTCACCTCCACCATCTATTTTTTATACAATATTTTTTATAGCCAAAATATACAGATTTTACAAAGAGATTCCTACAGAATACCATAGATGTTTAGAGTGTTAATACCTTCCCTTTGCATAACCAACCCCACCTTGAATCATTCCCCCTCTTTTTGGATTACTAGCTCTTTTTCCATTCCTTTAGAAACAATAAAGCGCAGTAGCGATTTTTATTTTGATTTGTATAAGTCTAGTCAATCAAATAACTTAGTCTTAAACATTTCTACCGCTACAACACTACCACGAATTCAAAATATGTCAGGAGTCATTACGGAAATGCACATATGGACTTACCCTTCCATCAATACCAAAATACACTTCCTAACTATTTTTTTACAAATTAGAGTGGGTGGATCACTTACAAAGGTATGGGGTGTATTTTAAATGCTTATAGAAATATATAAGGATCACTCTTTATCATTAAAGATGTGAAGAGCAACCCTTTTTTCTCTTTCAACCCAAAAATAGCACGATTAGTTTTTTTATTTTTGGTGTAGGTATATTGAGATTATTTTTGTAAAGAAAATGATTCTTTAAAAAAAACAATAAATCGAGTTTCTCTCAATATTTTCTTGAATAGTCCTCTAACTTAGAGATGAAATTTCCGGTTCCTAAAAAATACCTTAAATTAAACTCATTGCATGCTAAATTTGTGAAAACTTAATTAAGCCTAACCAAAAATAGTGCTAGTTGTTATAAATCTTGCAGGGTATGTCAGGAAATAGATTTTTTTTTTTTTTAATCTGCTATTCGGTCTTGTGACCAACTAATTTCAAGGAAACAAATTCCACCGTCCATTTGTATAGACTTGACCCAACACAAAAATTGTTTCCACCAAACAGAATTCAAACATGGAAATAGACTAATTGCATCACCGGTAAAACACACATGGACAGGATAAATTTGAGATATGAAGTTTCAATTTATCCAATTACTATCATTATGAAGATAAAATGGACTCAACGACACATTACATGACAGTCCCCAGATTTCCACGGCGATCAACAGTCATCCCATCGAAGGCTTGACTTGACACCTTTTATTTATTTTCAATTCTTTCCATGAAAATCACAATCTTCCCTTCAGCATTACTTAAACCAGATCAATATCAACTATAACCTAATAAAACATTACCGAGTAGAAACTCTGAACTGTTTTAAACAGGTTTTATAACTCAGCATTATCACAACAACCACCAATCACCATTGATTACAAAATATTTTTAGTATGGGAAAGAAAAATAAATAATGAAATAACTTCAGAATGAGCCTTTGCTAGCATAAAAGGAGACAACGTGATCCGTTAACACAAGCCAAACAAGCATCCAACAGATGATACTAGAACAATTTGTTTCTTGATCAAACACCAATGTACAATTAAACCTCATAGACAGCAATGGCTAGACATGCCAAAATGATTTTCAAATAAATATACCTTATTTTGTATTGAGAACAACATCTATATGTTCAGCACTCGCATCCGGTTGACCTTGGCTGATTGCTGTTTCCAACATCAATAGTGTCTGGCAGATATCTTCAACAACCACAATTTTTCACATGGAGAGCAAATTCCAAAACAAAATATCAATAACATTGGAGTAATATAATTATTCAATTATCAAATAAACTGAAAGAAGCATAATCTATGGTTATGTATCAAATAATACTGCAATTGAAATATACACTAAAATTGGTTTGCAGGCCACTGTTATATAGACAAACCAACATATCAAAATTTAGAAAAAGTTGTAGCAATGTCATAAGTAACAATTTCAATTTGTTTTGGACTTGTGGTATCCACAGGGTTCAAGACAGCAGCTCAATGAAAAAAAGAATTTCAGATGACTGACATAAAATAAAGAACATAAAAACTATGCCAGCTTGCAACTAATCAATCTTTTCATTATATTATAGCAAATAGCTTGTCTCCATCATTAATCCTATATCTGCTTTCAAGAGACAACATGGATATTATAAACTAAAACACTAGTAGGAACAAAATATGCTCCTCCAACCAATTAGCACCATCTCATAATTAGATAGACCAAAATTTATGTATTTGTGACGAAGTGTGCCCACATATATTAAAGAGATGCACATGCTAAAGAACTTACAATTCTTCCTCTTCCCCACTTTTCAGGGCATCCTTTGCTATGGTTTGGAATGCTTCTTCAACATTAATACCTTCTTTAGCAGATGTCTCAAAATACGGGATATTTCCTTTTGCTGCACACCATGCCCGAGCCTTCTTTTCAGAAACCTGCACACAGGAACTTATGTATGTTAATTTGTTTAATAGTACATTTTCAGGTGTTTCATGAATGTTATTTGATGCATGCAAGCTTTAGAAAGAATAAAAAGAGACGTGGAAGATAGCTTAAGGAAAGGAAAGACATACCACTCTACTGTTCCCACCATCAATGTCTATCTTGTTTCCTATAACGACAAAGGGAAAATTCTCTGGATCGGAAGGATTTGCCTGATGAAAAGGATCACAAAAATTAAGAAACTATTCTATGTTATTTGAGATTATAGATAAAACTGAGAAATTATCAAGAGAGAAGCACGTGCATACTTGAATGAGAAACTCTTCCCTCCAGTTATTAAGGTTGTCAAACGACTTCACTGAATTAACATCATATACAAGAACACAGCAATCAGCACCACGATAGAAAGCAACTCCTAGGCTTTGGAATCTTTCCTGGCCAGCTGTATCCCAAATCTGCAAGGTTGAGAATATTAAAAATTAAAAGGAAAGAAAAGAAAATTTCTACTATTTTAACTTACAAATTTCAATTACAACAACAACCAAACACTATCCCAGTCCCACTAAAGGGGGCCAGCTACATGGATCAAACTATGTCATAATGTTTTATTAAAAACCATATTTCTATCAAACTTGCTACTCTCAAGATCTTTTTTAATAATTTCTCTTATGATCCATGTAGCTGTTTGCCTACCTTCCATTTGATCTACTCTCCTTACTACAAAATCCACAAGTCTTCTCTTTACATACCCAAACCACCTTAACCTATTATCCACAATCTTTTCTACTAAGGATGTTACTCCTACACTCTCTTAAATATTATCATTTCTAATTTTATCTTGTCTATTCTTACCACACATCCAACGCAACATACTCAACGCTACTAAACTTATTTTATTTTCATGTACGTTCTATACGACCAACATTCCGTTCCTGTCCAGGAAAATTTTCCAATCAGTTTGAGCAGTACTTTCGTGTCAAATAAAACCCTCGAGATCCTCCTCCATTTCAACCACCCATCTTGGATATCAATTAAAACAGGAAAATAATGATGAGATGAAGAACAAGCACAAACATGATTTCCACAAGAAACAAAACATAGAAATCTAATACTTAAAAGGGCGTGGTGCACTGTCCAAAAAACTCAAACAGCCTTACAATCCTTAACCAAAAAAGGCTCTGAGAGTGCAACAGAAAAACTTAGATGTTAATCATTAAAAATATAGTTATCTTTGATGCACATTCCATTTAATCGATGTACCCGAGTCGGAATGATTGGAATATGTAAATAATGTATATCCAAAAGGTATGAGGATGCATTTTGTTTGAAATCAAAATTACGGATAAGTAACAAATACGCTCCGACACACCGGAACTTGAGGAGACTCCGATACACCGAAACTTGAGGAGACGCAAATAACTAGCGCGCACCAATGAGAGGTGACAGCTTCCTTGCCATCACTTTTTCCAGCCAAAGCCACATGCTCTGTTTTTCCAGAGCAAGCCTCAGGCTGAATTAAAAGTGGTGCTAGAGCTAGGGGTGTGAGTAGACCGGACTGAGCAAGACTTTGTCAAGTCTAAGCCGGGTCAAAAAGATCAAGTTCTAGGTTTGGCTTGTAGCCAGGTTAACATGTTAGCCTACTTAAAATCCAATTTTATTTTAACGTACGTAAATAAGTAATTCGGTTTATGTTTAAATAGACTAACAAGTTAAAAGTCGGATGAGACTAAAGGTTTGTTTGATTGACTTATCTTAACTTGCTTAATAACATAAGTTTTGCAAAACTATTTGTTTTGAAGAACATAAAAAACAACTTATATCATTGTTCATAAACTGTTTTTAGCTTATTTTCAGAAGTTCTCCAATATAGCTGAGCTTTATTTTGGTATTTAACTTGATATTTTATAAAATATTATAAAATATGACCACATAAAATATGATATTTTCAATTTATTAAATATGAAAGAAAAAAAAATTAATGTAGGTTAATCCAAAGTAAACTACTATGCATGTTTGATGTACACTACAGACAGACAACAACACCATGCAGCAACAACATGTTCACCCTCATTCATTTAAGAGGTTGTGACCTAAGAACTCTTTAGTTAAATCAGTAATAACACACAGGATAAGAACATCGAGGTAATACCAAAAAGAAAAACACTACATAATTTGTAAACCTGGCCTATCATTTACAAGGTTTGGTCAAGCAGTCATTTTCATGCATCTCAAAAACAAACCAAGCCTACAACAACACCACTCATAAACCTGTAAGGTGAAAAGCCTATCTTCAAATTGCACTTCTTTGGTTAAGAAATCCGCTCCAATGGTTGCCTTGTACTGATTACTAAACTTCTTATTCACATATCTAAAATACATAGGTTAAGCCAAACACAAAGGCCACATATTTCTGAAACATATAACCCTATACAACACTAAAACCTCAGAAAATCACATTTAAAATTGAAAACCAAAACAGAAATCTGAGCTTCTAAACAAAACAAAAAATTTTTTGAAGGATACTGGTTCATCAAAGACGTCTTCCCCACACTGCAAATCATCAACAACAAATAATTCAAATATGATTGTTGCGATCCAAACAGGAATATGAAAATTCACCAATTCATAAGTATAATTGTTGTAATCCAAGAAAATTAGCAAAGTAGAATTCAATTTTGTGCAAGCGTATCAGTAGTTGAGTTTAAACAGAGATCAATTTGCAGAAGGAAAGAAAAGGTAAAGAGATCTGTGAAATATTGATTATTGGCAAACCCTAGAATTGAAGAGTGAGAGAGACGAACCCGCTGTCACCGAGAATGATGACCTTTAAGAGAGTTCTTCTGCGAGAAGGCATCGTAGAGATCGGAGGAAGAAGAAGAAGAAACTGTTGCTTGCTCTGTTTTTTATGGTTTTTACTTCAACTGCGACTCTCTCTCTCTCTTTCACACCGTCTTCAACTCTATTTCTCCCTCTCTCTCTCTCTAACTTTCTAAGCAGCCGCTTTCTCTATCTATCTCAAATGTTACGGAATATTCTATTGCCCTCACAGCTATGATTCAAACAATATTTCCTCATTAATTAATCCTAATTTTGTTAACAATATTATTTATAAAATTATAATAATTAACTTAAGATTTGGAAAACTAAATAAACTATCAGAAAAAAATTAAATTTATTAATTAAAGAATAATATCCACCACTAAAAATTCACACAACTTTTTTATTTTCTTATAAATTTATTAAGCTTAGAATAGGGTGAGTGGGTCAATGTTTTTGTATGTTTGAGAAAGTGAATTTCTTAATCTATTATGGGACTTTCCTACGTATCACGTGAAATTTCATAAGTGTTCTTCAAAATTGAAAGTATATTTCGGTTTGCACCATGCTATAGCCTATACATGAATTACGATGAAAGGGTTGGGTGTAAATCAGAAGTATACTTTCGGTTCTAAATCGAAAGTATATTTCCAGTTCTTAAACGCACTAAATGGCGCCATACCTCTTTCCCTCTCATTACAATAACCATTTTCAAAATAAAACATAAAACTCTCTCAAACTCTTATTACATCCTTCACATATTTAGTCAAAAAATCATCAGAAATCATGAAGTATTAGTTAAATATAGCATTCTAACGCAATCAGTCAAGCAAAATCAACACCAATCAATCAAGTAAGTTATTTTTTTATTTTTTAGAGTTTATGTAATTTCTACTCAAATTAGAGAATTAGGGTTTAAATTATGATATTATAGCTTGTTATCAACATTATTAGTCATTATAAATGTGTTTCTAAAGTTAATTTTGTGATCAATGCCCTTTTTGTGAGCTCATTGAAGGGACTAAGACGCCATTTTCGTTGCTTCTGTTATCGCACCAGGAACCGGAATTAAATTTCCAGTTTTGTCTAGAACAAAACCGAAAGTATACTTTCGGTTTATGTCTGTGTTACAGGAGACAGCGTAGGGACGCCTCGAGGGTGACAGACGGCTCATCATCCGCCATACTCAGTAGTTTATGTTGATGCATTTGTATTTTGATTTTAGTTTTTTGGTATTGTATTGTATCGTATTTGTACTTGGATTACATTTTGGTGTTGCGTACGACTCTATCATATTGTATATATATATATATATATATATATATATATATATATATATATATATATATATATATATATATATATATATATATATATATATATATATATGTGTGTGTGTGTGTGTGTGTGTGTGTGTGTGTGTGTGTGTGTGTGTGTGTGTGTGTGTGTGTGTGTGTGTGTGTGTGTGTGTGTGTGTGTGTGTGTGTGTGTGTGTGTGTGTGTGTGTGTGTGTGTGTGTGTGTCTGTGTGTGTGTGTGTGTGTGTGTGTGTGTGTGTGTGTGTGTGTGTGTGTGTGTGTGTGTGTGTGTGTGTGTGTGTGTGTGTGTGTGTGTGTGTGTGTGTGTGTGTGTGTGTGTGTGTGTGTGTGTGTGTGTGTGTGTGTGTGTGTGTGTGTGTGTGTGTGTGTGTGTGTGTGTGTGTGTGTGTGTGTGTGTGTGTGTGTGTGTGTGTGTGTGTGTGTGTGTGTGTGTGTGTGTGTGTGTGTGTGTGTGTGTGTGTGTGTGTGTGTGTGTGTGTGTGTGTGTGTGTGTGTGTGTGTGTGTGTGTGTGTGTGTGTGTGTGTGTGTGTGTGTGTGTGTGTGTGTGTCTTTTGTTTTATTTGTGATGCGAAAAAACGAGAAATATATTTCCTTGCAAACCTGGTTTTTCTGCTACTGGCAGCATCAGAGCCGGAAATATATTGCCGGTTTAAAAACCGGATATATACTTTCGGTTTTAGGTCAAGTTTTTCAAAAAAAAAGGTGTGCACCGGAAGTATACTTCTGATTCTATAGGGACATTATAGGAATTGCATAGGATTTAATTTTCTCACATGGAGTGGGGTAAGAAATCATCTATAAACAAACTACCATGCTTTCATTTATGTCATTCTCTTTTCTATTTTTTTCAAACACATTTGGACTTTTCAGTCATTGCATAATCTCACAATTTATTTCCATCGAAGTTCAATATTATTCTGCCAAATGCACCATCAAAAACCAAAAAAAAAACTTGAAACCATCTTCTTTTTCCATCCACTCTTCTTCTTTTCACTTGCATCAGTTCTTTCTCTTTCCTCCTTCCATCATATGACGGTTAAAGCTTTAACCATTGTTGGGTTTATTAGAATAAGATTTAGATTCTACAATTAATCTCTGGATTTTGATGATAATAATACATATATTTTATATGTAAATAATTTTATTTCTAATAGTTTCTTGAGTGTGCAGATTAAGAGTTCTAATTGATTCAGGACTGTTGTCTGAAGAATCATCAGAAATATACTAAGCACTCGTCAAAAAGAATATTGCACCCGCTTCTGAAGAAACATCATTATTTGTGAAGAATGTTGAATGTTCGCCAGAAAAGAATCTCAATGTGTACTTCTAAATAAGCTTCTTCTTCAGAAGTCACAAGTATTCTAGAAGAAAGAATTTATGTTAGAGTTGTTGCTCCAAGATCAGAAAACAATATTGCACCAAAAACAAGCTTTTGTGTCAAAGATCAGAAGTCAAGATTTATTCTTCAGAGGAGATGTTGCTTCTAACTCTGAAGACAAAGTCAAGGTTCTGAACACATCAAAGAAAAGCTTCTACTTCCGAATCAGAAGTCGAAATGTGTTCATTAGAAAAGTCGTTGCTTCTAATTTTAAAGACAAAGTCAATATTCTGAAGATTCAGATACTTCGTGGAATATGCGCACATTACTTTACATCAGAAGTATTACATTAGAAGACAAATAAATGAAAGTTAGATCTTCTGGACTCATTACTATTTTACATCACATAGTCCATCAGAAGACAAGATCAATAGATGATATCTTCTCAAGCCAATCTGCTTCATCAGAAGTAAAATTCATCAGAAGACAGTATCATCATAAACGTGCGCTAGAAAAGTTAGTACAAAGGTGCAATTACACATTCCACTCAAATGGATGTACTGTGTACTATTTCTTTCCCACGATCATTTCTTACTGTTGGTAGCTGGCAAGATGAAAGTGACGTGTGTACTACTACAACAGTCTACTTCCTCAAAGCCTATATAAAAGATCAACTGTTTCATTTAAAAATAACAACAAACAAGACAAGAGAACAAGAACAGTAACGCTGCCCAAATCAAAGCAAGAAAAAGAAAAAGATTAAAACACAAGAGTCGTTTCTCATTATTGTATTGATATTATTATTTGCTAGAACACAAGAGTTGTTGCTCATTATTATGCTATTATTGTAATTTGTTTGAACACAAGAGTTATTGCTTATATTTGTGTTAAACAATTTGTAATTAAACATTTGTGTAATCCGCTTATAAGAAGCAAACTTGTAAATACACTATTCAATTGTAAGTTGATTGTTCCTTGAGTGACTAAGGTGTTAGTCAGAATACTCAAGAAGATTTAGAGAAATCTCCTTCAAGAGACCGGGTAGGTCAGAAGCCTTAAGGAGTTGGTGATCGTTATATCTCTTAGGGGACCTGGTAGGTCAAAATTCTTAAGGGATCACTAACACGTTATTATTTATTTGTTCTTAGTCACCGTTGGGTAGCCCGTGCATTTGTAATCTTTCAAGATTAGTGGATTAAGTCTTTTTCTAAGGTGAAATCACCTTGGCGGATGGACAAGAGTAGCTTTTTCTAAGGTGAACTTGTATAAATTAAACGTGTCATTATTTCTCTCTATATCATTGATTCTATTTTAATTGTTTGTGTAAAGCACTTCTAAACAAAAAAAAATTGAAAACCCAGTTCAAACTCTCCCTCTTCTTGTGTTTTTCTCAACCTTCAAGGTTTTCTTCGAGTTACAAGTAGTAAGTTTGCCTTCAACCGTTACTTATTTCCGTTTCATTTCCATTAGATTCAATTATGTTTCCTTTTAGTTTCACTTCACCTTTCATCTTGTAACATATAGTTTTCTCTCTTGATAAATATGTTCTGTTTTATCGACTTCATGTTTCCATCACTGCTTCAATTCCCTTTTCTCGCTCCGTCATCATTTGTTTCCCACTTCAACTCACATTGGTTGATAGTTTCAGCAATGTAAGTTTTACCAAGTTTTCTCCTTCTAGTTTTTTCGTTTCTCTTTTTTTATCATTCAGAGTAGTGTCATGAAGCTTTTTGTTTCTCTGTTTCAAGCATATATGTTTTTTTACCTTCAGATTTTGTTCTCACAACAAAGTCGACTACTTTCTCAAAGTATGATTAAGCTAAATTTGTTTCAATATTTTCTTCCTTTCATTTTTCATTCAATATATGTTTTGATACATTTTTTCATTCATCTATTTTTTTTAACCATGTGTTTTCTTCAATCTGATTTTATAAAAATGGCTTCTTTTTGTTTTTAATGTTTATATACTTAACAAAGTTGGCTTTATTGTGTTGTAGAAAAACTTGCTTTCACTGGTTTTATGGTTTTTACATACTTTTTATTTTAAAACTACTTTTTATGCTTTGTGTGTTGTAAAAACCATGCATTTTTTTGAGGAAGTCACTTAGGTATTAGAAAGCATGTATTCTTTGCCGTTTTTTTAAAATGTAAAGCATTCACTTTTATGGTTTTTTTACCTTATAAGGCATGTGGTTTTAGATCCTTTGTATGTTTTTTATACCTCTAATGTCACAAACTCAAGTTTAATATTAATTGCCTAATGTTATCTCTTTGTTACAAGAATATTGGGTATGTTTAATGTTACCTATTATGATACAATTTTTTGGCTTACTAATTGGTCAATTAATACAATTTGCACATGCAATTGATCAAGTTAGAAAATACAAATTTGATATACTC